TAAGATCAGCTTGCTCATTTCTGCAGAAAAGCCACTGGGATTTTGATAAAGATTGCAGTGAATCTGTAGATCAGTTTGGGGGAATATTGTTATCTTAATGATATTAAGTATTCTTGTATTCTTTTATTTATTTAATTTTATTATAATAATAATTATTATTTTAGAGAGAGAGCAGGAGCAGGTTTGGGCATGAGGGATAGAGAGAGAGGGAGAGAGAATCTTAAGTAGTCTCCACACTGAGCATGGAGCCCGACACAGGACTCAGTCTCACAACCCTGAGATCATGACCTGAGCCGAAATCAGGAGTCTGACGCTTAACCCTCTGAGCCACCTAGATGCCCCTGTACTCTTTTATTTAATTCAAAAACATCTGACATGATCTCTGCCTTCAACTAGCTTATAATTTAGTAGAGTCATCTTAAAAACGCAGCTAAGTAATATAGTGATAACAGTAATAAACATAACAATTACTAGTACTACTTATTACTAATAAGAATATTTATTGGGCTTTTGCTATATGGTAGTCTCTGTAATAACTTATTTGTATTATCTCATTTAATCCTCACAAAATTTTTTCATAAATAAGAAATAGTCATAAAAAGAAGAAAGTGATAATACTCTAAAGGAGGTGAAGACAAAGAATACCCTTTGGGTTTTATCAAGCAGAGCTTTGAATTGGACTTTGAAAAATAAGTAGGATTTTTTTTTTTTTTAAGATTTACTGTTTATTTGAGAGAGAGCTTGCAAGAGAGTGAGAGTCGGGGGAGGGGCAGAGGGAGAGAATCGGCAAGTAGACTCCCCTCTGAGCACGGAGCCTGACATGGAGCTCAATCCCAAGAGCCATGAGATCATGACCTGAGCCGAAACCAGGAGTCTTGACACTTAACTGACTGAGCCACCCAGGCGCCTTGAAAAATAAGTAGGATTTTGATGAGAAAGAACAGGGTTTTGGGAAAGCTGCGTCCTGAAAAAGTATCTAGATCTGCAACATCTTGAAGAACCACAAGAATTTTGTTGATCGCAGTGGTGGTGGCTGAGGTGTGCATTTATGTGGGAAGACGTGTTCACATTTGCTGCATAAGGAAACAGAGGAAAAGGTTGGAAGATACAAGAGAAAATGGGGATTACAGTGTACCAGGGCCTGAGGCCCTAAACACTCAGTGCCAACACTAAATTGAGAACAGAAGAAGGGTGGGGAAGGGTGTGGAGAATTGCTTAGACAAAGAGAAGAAGAGGAAGCTTTTATTTAATGGCTTTGATCTTTAGTGTAAATTTGAAGTTAATGCTTTTTTCTGAGTGAATTAAACATTGAGGGATGAAGGTGAGGAACCAAAGAAGCATGGAAAAGGTTGGAGTAAGTATTGTGAAAAACGTAATATGATGATATTAAAAATAAGTAAAATTTTTCAGGTAGTAGTGTGAAGGACTTATTTCCATGAATTGATGATGGAACTAATTGGCTTTGTCTTACTACTACCTTCTTCAGCAGTGTGTAGTAACCTGAGAGAAAGAATGGAATAATTAAATGGTAGGATTTACTCAATATTTGTATTTGACGAACAAGTTGGTAAAAGAATAAGAATTAGCCAGAGAATCAGAGATGTTACTAGTGGCATTATTGAAATGGTGAGCCACGGGCGCCTGGGTGGCTCAGTTGTTAAGTGTCTGCCTTCGGCTC